AGAGCCGTCTGATCGTAACCGAAGGAAAAGGTCATTCCGAAGGGCAGACGCTCACCACTAATGGATAGGTTTGTGTCAATGAAATCCTCGATACAAACGGCCAAATAGTCAAAATCTGTTGAGATAAAACAGAAAACACTAAAAAATATAATACATTTATTTAAAAATATTAAACTGCAAAAATATGTTTTAGAATTAATTTGAATTAATATAAAAAACTATACAATAATTGATTTTTAAAACTTTTATTACAAACAGATCGTTAAATTGTTAAAAGACTATGTCTTAAGTGTTTCAAAATTGAGACGAATTATGGCTATGTTTGAGGAAGAGATGAAACTGGGATTAGAGCCCAAACCCAGTCGTCAATCGGCTTTTTATATGTGTAACACATTTGTGACCGACTGTCCCGACGGTACAGAAGAGGGCGATGTTTTGTCAATGGATTTGGGAAACAGTAATTTCAGACTATTGTTAACCCGATTAAAGCCGGGAAAGAAACCGGAGTTTATTGTTAAACACTATGATCTCAGCACAGAATACAGACGCGGCAAACCTCAGAAAGTAAACGACATTTAAATGCCATACAAATTACAAGTTTTAAAAAATCTATTTAATCCAGTTGTTTGACTATTTGGCCGTTTGTATCGAGGATTTCATTGACACAAACCTATCCATTAGTGGTGAGCGTCTGCCCTTCGGAATGACCTTTTCCTTCGGTTACGATCAGACGGCTCTAAACGTTGGGATTATAAAGCAGTTCGGAATCGACACCGATTTGCCCGAAGCTATTGGTAAAGACGCCGTCAAGTATTTACAGGACGCCATCGACCGGAAGGGTCTCAAAGTAGATGTGCTGTCCATAGCTAACGATACAACGGCCACATTGGCGTACGGCATGTCTCTAAAGCCCGACACATATATTGGCTTTATATTAGGTTCGGGTACTAATACTTGTTATCTCGAAAACGTTGACCGAATTGAAAAGATTGATCCAATGAAGACATTTGGCTCCAAACCTGAGAGCGTTATACTAAATCTCGAGAATGGTTTTCTCGGAGACAATGGATCCATTGATTTTGTCAAAACTAAATGGGATTTAGAAGTAGACAACGATTCGCTATTTCCTCATAACTATAGGTTAACTTCAAAATTAAAATAGCTTTCAATAATTTAGTTTACTTTTAACGTTAATTTTTAATTATTAAATATATTATTTTTTAAAATAGTTTTGAGAAATTAATCGGCGGTGCATTTATTGGGGATCTTTTCCGTCGGACTCTGTTATCATTGGCAGAAAACCATGTATTTCTTGGAGGAATAATAACGGATGGATTGAAGCAAAAGGACTCTATTAAAGGCCCAGACGTGTCGTCAGTAGAGAGCGACAAAACTGATGGTTCAGTCATAGCATTGTTGCAAAGATTGGGATATTCTTCACAACAGATAACCAAAGATGACATTGAGATCGTTAGATATGTCTGCGCTCTGATCGGTGTCCGTAACGCACAGTTAGCCGCCGCCAGTCAGTAGTCCTTTATTATTATGTCATCATTTGATTGCTATTTAATATAATATATTCATTAATTGTTTAGCTCTCTCACCGCTTATTCAACGCATTGATAAACCAATGGTTAGGATAGCGGCCGACGGCTCGCCATACAAAAAACACCCAAAACTTCATAAATTGATCACTGATTTCATTACCGAATTGATTCCCAACAGAAAATTTGAGTTATTTTTAGCCGAAGATGGAAGCGGTAAGGGATCAGCATTTATCGCAGCCGTCGCCGCAAAACAAAGACAAAAATCCTGATTAAATGTATTGATAATATTTTAAATGCCGTATATTTTTTACACAATAATATTTAGAAAAAATTAAGTAATTTATTAGTAATAAAATTAACGAAAAACTGATAAAATTGTTGAAAAAATATTGCAATAAATGAACATAAAATTTTGACAGTAGTTGTGACTACTTTCTACTCAATGCAACAAAAAACGTTATATCACACAAAATAAGACTACATAATGTACATTTAGTGTTTATAAAATTACTTCTATTATTTGTACTATAACAATAAGATTAATATTTTTAAATAGACTAGGTTGTTATATGCTTTACAATAGATGTAAAATTAATATAATATTGATTTAATTTATACAAAAATTAGATTTAAATTTAAATAAAAATAAAATGGTAATCGATTCTGTTATTTATACAGAATATGTACAATAAAAGCATAATGGACATTATTCTGGACATACATATTTTGGACATATTAATTGTTATTGTGGTTTTTGTAAACTGCTTATTATGCGACACCAATACAACACTATTACTAATATATCAATTGAATTGTTAAAATAATTAAATAAACAATCAAAATCTCATTCAATAAAGTTATAAAATTGCTTTCTTTACGATATTATCTAAAATATTTATAATATAAAATAAATAACGGAATTATTATATACAGAGTGATATGTAGAGTGATTTAAGCAATGGTTCATTTTATGTAACAATTATCTAATAATTCATGCGATTAGATAACGAGCACCGATAGGAACAGTAGTACACGTAATGTTAGTCGTTATATAATAAGTGGTGAAAATTCTTGTAAAACTATTGCTAACAGAAGGCAGTGTTTGAATAAAAAACATATTTTTAGTGTTTTATATTTTGAGTGTATGTTTTAACGCTCCTTTCATAGCAACTCATACTTGTATTCACACATCTCTTGCCATAGACTCTCTCACACATCGGTTTAGAAGCGAGAAAATGGATTCAATCAGCGATTCATTACTTCTGGAGAGCTCTCCATTCCATAACCCGGTGCTCACTATCGGTGACCAAAATCGCAAACAAAAGGTATGTTATAATTATTTGTATGTTTAATATATAAATCAAACCCTATCTGCGCTCACATACCGTTTCAATCCCTTTAATGATTTACCATTAAAAACATATACCGGTATATAATTTCAACTGATATTTGAACGCAAATACAAATAAGTAAAAATGAAAAATGATTTTTAATAAACTTTTACTGATGTGCAAAAATACTTTCCGTATTGCCTTACATCTCAAACCTGTGCTCAAGAATGTTATGATTTTTTTGTGGATTTAGCGCTAAATATATGTTAAAACTGATGTCAGATAATCAAGAAAATCCTTTTCTTAGAAAAAGGAAAATATAAATTATGATTAGTTTTTGTGAGTTTAGAAAAATCTTCGGATAAATACATAAGAAAATAGCAAAGAAAATGCATAAACAGTATTAAAAATAATAAATTATGACAAATATGCATAAAATCAAAAGAATTTTAGCTCAAACTCTCGTAGACTTAAATTGATTATAATTTATGGCAAAAAACAAAATAAAAATTGATTTTTAAATTTTTTTTATCACAAACAGGTCTATGAATTGCTGAAGGAATATGTCTTAACTGTTCCCAAATTGAGACGAATTATGGCTATGTTTGAGGAGGAGATGAGACTGGGATTAGAGGCCAAACCCAGTCGTCCGTCGGTTTTCTACATGTGTAACACATTTGTGACCGACTGTCCCGACGGTACCGAAGAGGGCGATGTATTGTCAATGGATTTGGGAAGTACTAACTTAAGACTATTGTTAACCCGATTAAAGCCGGGAAAGGAGCCCGAGTTTAGTGTTAAACACTATGATATAAATACAGAACACAGACGCGGCAAACCTGAAAAAGTAACTGATATATAATTTAATTGAAATGACAGCAAATGTTTAATTCTTATTGAATTATTTACTAGTTATTTGATTATCTGGCCGTTTGTATCGAGGATTTTGTTAACACAAACCCAGACATCAGTGGTAAGCGTCTGCCCTTCGGAATGACCTTTTCCTTCGGTTACGATCAGACGGCTCTAAACGTTGGGATTATACAGCAGTTCGGAATCGACACCGATTTGCCCGATGCTATTGGTAAAGACGCCGTCAAGTATTTACAGGACGCCATCGACCGGAAGGGTCTCAAAGTGGATGTACTGTCTGTTTCTAACGATACAACGGCCACATTGGCGTACGGCATGTCTCTAAAGCCCGACACATATATTGGCTTCATATTAGGTTCGGGTACTAATACTTGTTATCTCGAAAACGTTGACCGAATCGAAAAGATTGATCCGTTGAAGACATTTGGCACCAAAACTGAGAGCGTTATACTGAACCTCGAAAACGGCTTTCTAGGAGACAACGGATCCATCGATTTTGTCAAAACTAAATGGGATTTAGAAATAGACAACGAATCACTGTTTCCTCATAATTACGGGTACTTTAATATATAATCCAATTATTGCAAAGATTTTATTTATACAATATATTAATTCATTAAATATATTNCCATTATGTGTGAAATACGATAAACTGTTCCGTTAAATAGCCGAACAGAGCCAACTCGGATGTGATAATCTTGCGGTTTTCTGAATATTAATAATTAAATTCATTAATTTTCATTGTTGGACTAGCAGCAAACATTATAACTCCACATTAGGTTTACTTAAAATTATAAATATAAAATGTGCACACTTACCGACTATTATCAAAACAATGTGCGGCCGTAATAACATGTTTCTCATCAATTATAGATCCGCCGCATACAAAATGACCACGATAATAGATGGAGCACATCCATGGGATTTGACCAACTTTGACACTGTTGCCCATAACTATACGATAAGTAGTGGGGTATAGGATATCATATAAATTGAGCTCAATCTCAGATCGTTTTCTATTAGTTGTATTATAGGGTAATATTTGTGATACAAGTTTGGAAAGACCACAATTGCATTGCTCTTCATTACTATTATCTTTATAATTAGTTCCGTTTGTTTCGTCATTTGCCGTATTATTTACATAATACTGAAGATTATTTGTTTCAGTTAACAGCATATCTACAAAATGAGAGTCAGAATAGCAACAGAGCTTAGATGGTAGAGGTCTAGCATTGGGCCACTCGCAGGCATTCCACATATTCCAGTGCGGCTGTTGTCGCAGACAAACACGCATTGGACGGCACATACCCTCCACACCGTTATATTGAATGCATGTATTACTGCTATTCAATTCCGAGTATACGTTTTTTCTTACATATTTTGTCTCTTTTACATTAAACCCAAAATTGAATGCATCCACACAAACAACTCCTGTTATCAGATAAGTTAAATTAGAGTCAAACTTGTAAAAATCATTATACGTTATATTTGTTACCTTACCCATCAACATTAAATTGGAAATATAAATACTTATCCTCTTAACCATCCTCAATTAAAGCGCTGTAAAATATAAAATATAATTACATAAATGTTGAGTTGAATTTGTAATTTATACATGAGACACCATTGAATTGTACCAATTTAAGTAATCAAACATTTCAATACAATGCACACAACTTTTATAAAAATGTGATGTTTCTATGTAAACAATTTAACCAACATTTTTCATTTTAAAAAATATTTATATTAATTATAACTAAAGCATTGATTTTTAGATGACAAAAACCAGTCTTAAAGTCACTATAAAAGTTACTTAAAAATGGCTAAAAAGTTATGAAAAAGTTATTTATTTTGTATCAAAATAATACACTCAAAGGTCAATTGAATTGAATTGAATTTATTGTTGTTTTAAGACGTCGCGCACTCAACATAGTTGATATTCTGTGCGAACGTCTATAGTATAGTCTATACATTACAAACAATTAAAATCTAATTGATTAGACTTTAAGATTAAAATCTCTCTCTAGTACATGAACATCTCTCTCTATATCTAAGATATATATAATATGTAATTTAAACATGTGTTATAAGCTTATTCCAAATTGTAGTTAACCTATCTAAGTAACCTATACTATACGTCCTATAGAATTGCTGTGCAATTCTTGTTTTTTGAATAATGAATATTTAAATTAATTTTGTTTATAATAAATATCTCGATTGTTATATGATATGCGATTAATTTGGATTTTATAGAATAACGATTTGTATATAAATTGCTGTATATAAGATATAAATTATATATTGCCTGGCCAATCGCCATTTTTAACCATTCGTTTAATATCTGCCTTTTTAACTTTGCCGAGAGGTGTGAGGGGTAACGCCTTTACAATGTTTACTCCTCCTCTCATTTGTTTAATACGATTGACTCGATTATTAACGTAATCCAAGAGCTCCTGTGGCCCGACTTGAGCGCCACTTTTGATGGTAACGAACGCCTTAGGAATCTCTCCGTTTTCTTCGTCTTCCACTCCAATTACGGCCGCATTTACTACTGATTCGTGGGATAATAAAACCTTCTCTAATTCCACGGGCGAAACAATTATGCCTATTATATGATATAACGTTTCATTAAATTGATATTTACTACTAATATATTTTAATATTTTGCAATTTTGTATATTTTATAAAATATTTACTGTTGAAATTAATCACATCTTTGCAACGGTCTATAAAATAAAAATATTCGTTTTCATCATAATATGCCAGATCTCCAGTTTTGAAAAAGCCATCATTTGTAATATGTTCATGTACAAAATTGCCACAATATCCAAAGTAACCAGGAACAACCTTATTGTTCATTGTTTAATTTGCATTGCATTATTAATATCACAAATTATTATTTAAACATACATCTACAGTAGTTAGGAGTTTTTCACAAAGTACGTTCGCATGTCCCTATCATACCCCCTCCCCAAGAAAACTATTTCTATTCAAAAGTCATATATCTGTTCAAAATTTGTTATCAATTTGAATAAAAGCTGTTATTAATAGGAACAGTGGTTAGATATACCGGTAGTTGTTATCAAAAGATTAACGCTAATAAAAATTAATCCCTTAAATTCATCAAATGATTAAACTGCAAACGTTCATAAAGTCTCTATACCCCTTCCCCCCTTGTTTACAAAAGTTCGGTTTGGCCGACACCCCCTCCCCAAGTGCAAACGTACTTTGTGAACAACGCCTTATCTTAAAATGTTTATAATTAACGTATAATTTGATTAATATAAAAGTGTATACATTATCTCCACGAATGCAAATCTGTCCGATACTATTGGGAGGCAGAGAATTTCCCAAATTATCTATGATCTTGATCTCAACCCCTGGGTTTACTTTGCCAATAGTTTCTACATTTGGCACACATTTACTTTCACTTATATAGACATTTGTAACCCATCCGCACTCAGACATACCATAATCTGACAATTAATTATAATTAGATTTAACACTATATATAGTTAAATGATTTCAATGTGACTTACGATTTCTAAATCTTTGAAATGAAAATAAATCACATATTTGTTGATATATGTGTTGACTGAGAAAAGCTCCGCCGCAAAACACATCCCGCAATGTCTTGAGATATGTTTTGTTATATTTGTGTTGATTTTTAATGAGAAAATTCAATTCTGTTGGAACTGTGAATATATTGGTAACATTCATGTCGTGAATGCCGTCAAATATAGCCTCATTGCTGTGATCGTCGCCCCAAACCACTAACTGAGCGCCAGAAGTGAGACTCGAAAACAGACTGCGCTGTCCGCACATGTGGTTAAAACCTGTGGACAACATTATATCATCTGCTCTTAACGGACATATCTCCGGGTGTTGTGTTATGGCGACGATTGCCAACAAATTACGATTTGTTCGTATAATAGCTTTTGGTGTACCGCTTGAACCACTGCTCATCACAAGTGTGGCCATATCCGAGAGTCCGCTCATAACCGGTAGCTCTATATCATTGTCTCGAATTAATTCTAATGCTCTCTCAATTGATTGTGATTTTATGTGCAGTTTATTTGCACAAAACTCGTTGAGCAACAGAATTGTCTAAATATATTAATAAAAATCTTTAAGATAAAATTATCACATTTTCAATATTCACTGTTGGTAATAAAGTATTGAATCTCACAATTTTTTAAGACTGGTTTTTGTCACTAAATAATTCAATGCTTTAGTTATTAATATAAATCAAATCATACCTTAATGCAATCAAATTGTTGACCCATTTTTGTCAACAATGTAAAATTATCAGAGTTTCCAATTAATATTGTTGGCTTAATTGTCATCATATTACTGGAAATTTCAGCTACAATTAATAAAACGAATATTAAATAGTAAAGTGAATAAAATTGAAAACCAAATATAATGTATAAATACTTTGAGTCGTATGTCTCGGTAGTGAACAATAGACACCTCCGGCCGCCAGTACTCCCAAAAGTCCGATGGCGTGAATATCATTATTATTGGTTATAAAGCAAACAATATCTCCTTTAATTAGTTTGCATTCTTTTATTAGATAATAAGCAACATTTAGACACGAATCTAATACTTGTTTTTTAGTCCACTTTCTCTTTGATGTCGAATCAATCTATTTGTTAAAACATATAATTATTAAACTAATTATTTTAAAAAAGTTAAAATAAGTAAATATACCAAACAATTGAAGTCTTGCTGTGATTGCAAACTTTCAACAATGAGTTGAATTATCGATTGTTGTGAATATTTCTCAAGTGTTAGTTTGGATTTAACAATATTTTGGTCCATCATTTCAGTCGTATTTTCCATTTCAAACCAAATAATGAGTACAACTAATGTTGATAAAAGTAAGATTTCATATTTCATATAAATTTTTAATTATTTATATACTTCACTACATTTGATATCTTTAGAGATTACATTGATTTAAACAATTATTGTAACGTTAATATTAATGCAAAACTTTATATCACTTTTGAACTCATTTTAGACCTCATTAACCTTGATCGTTGATATGAACATTTCTTGATATATTTTATCAAACATTTTAGGGGAGTTCACAAATTACAGTCGCACTTGGGAGGAGAGGGGTCGGCCAATGCAAACTTTTGCGAACGAGGGGAGGGGGCAGAGCGGTTAAGAACGTTCGCATTTAAATAATTTAAGAGACAGTATACCTACTTTCGACAACATGACCACTTCAAGCACTATTTCTTAAATTATTGTCGATTCAATGTTTATAATTCATAATTTAAATGATTGGTTAAATTTTTATTAAATTATTTATAAATATAGTGGTATTTTATATCTTCTAGTCGAGGGAAGGGGGGAGTGGTTACAAATGATTTGATTTTAAAAT